GGGCTGGTGGGCGGAGGGGCTGGGCGCCGACGGCCCCGACCTGCCGCCCGGGCTGGGCTCGGCCGTCCAGGCGGCCCTGGAGCGGAGCCTGCCCGAGCTGCACCAGGCCGTCTCGGCCGCCAAGCAAGCGGCCGGCCCGGGCGACCTGCAGGCGCGGCTGGGCGCCCTCCTGGCGCTGGTGGGGGAGGCCTGGCGGCTGCCGGCCGTGGGGCGCGAGGTGGCCAAGGGGCTGTGCGACGCGCTGCGCCTGGAGGGCGGCCTCGACCTGCTGCTCGACCTGCTGCGCAGCGCCGAGCCCGAGAGCCGGAGCCGCGCGGCCCAGCTGCTGGAGCAGGTGCTGGTGGCCGAGAACCGGTGAGCGCGCCCGGGCGCGACCCCCTCCGCGGGACCCGCCCCGCCCCGGGGACCCGGGGGGCGTCTGGGGAGAGGGGGAGGCACGGCTGGAGGAGCCCGGGACCCCGCGGAGGAGGAGGAGGAGGAGGAGGGCAGCCCCTGCCCGGGAACTCCAAGCGAGGCTCAGGGTCGCCCCGGACCGCGGATGGGGCTTTCGGGGGAGGAGGGGCCGATCCGCTGGATTGCAGCTTGGCGGGGGGGGGATTATTCTGGGAGTTGAAGTCCACCGGTTGTAAAGTCGCCCTAGTTCAGGGGTAGGCAACCTTGGCTCTTTTATGACTCTGGACTTCAACTCCCAGAATTCCTGAGCCAGCTGTGCTGGCTCAGGAATTCTGGGAGTTGAAGTCCACGAGTCATAAAAGAGCCAAGGTTGCCTGTTGTTGTTGTTGCTGTTAGTTGCAAAGTCGTGTCCGACCCATCGTGACCCCATGGACAACGTTCCTCCAGGCCTTCCTGTCCTCTACCCTCTTCTGGAGTCCATTTAAGCTCACGCCTGCTGCTTCAGGGACTCCATCCAGCCCCCTCCTTCTCTGTCGTCCCCTTCTTCTGTTGCCCTCCATCTTTCCCAGCATCAGGCTCTTCTCCAGTGAGTCCTTCCTTCTCCTTAGGTGGCCAAAGGACTTGAGTTTCAACCTCAGGATCTGGCCTTCTAAAGAGCAGTCGGGGTTGATCTCCTCTAGGACCGACCGGTTGGATCGCCTTGCAGTCCAGGGGACTCGCAGGAGTCTTCTCCAGCACCAGAGTTCAAAGGCCTCCATTCTTTGGCGCTCGGCCTTTCTTATGGTCCAACTTTCACAGCCATACATTGCAACTGGGAAAACCATGGCCTTGACTCTACGCACTTTTGTTGGCAGGGTGATATCTCTGCTTTTTAGTATGCTGAAGGTTGCCTTCCCGTGCCCTAGTTGCTCATCCCTGCTGCCTTGGGCGTCCTTCCCAGAGCAGATTGAGTAAGGGGCGTCTCTTCACGACAGGGGAGACCCCCGGTGTGGTCCCTCTTTCGCTTGTGGTGTTTGGGCGCCGGAGGCTTCTGCTTCTCTCTGCGCAAAGCTTGGCTGGCTCCCACCTGGCCTTTTGTGCCCGCTGTGGATGCTCCTGCTTGAGTTAGTTTATGCTGCAACATAACCTAAAAATACGGAGAAATTTCCCGGCAGGGAGAACAATGAATCGGTGGGAGGGCTTCCCTCCAGAAGTGGTGGGTGGAGCTTTTAAGAGGAGACTGGATAGCCAGTCGGTAGAGGGTCTCCAGCTTGAACGGTAGAGGGTCTCCAGCTTGAGCAAGGGGTTGGATTGGAAGACCTCCAAGGGCCCTTGGGACTGTTATTGTTATTTTTGATGCGTTGCCTTGTGTGCAGAGACTTGGGGTCCAGCCAGCTTAAAATCCCCCCCCCCTCCCGGGGCTGAATAAGAAGGGAGGCTGAGCGGTGACTCATTCAGAGAGACAGCAGAGCGCCTCTTTGTTCTTGGCATCCTCCCGGCCTTCTCCAGGGGGGAGGGGGGCCCTTCACAAGGTCTGGTAGTTGGACAAAGGAGGCTGAGGCTGAGCAGGGGTGTGTGTGTGTGTGTGTGTGTGTGTGTGTGTGTGTGTGTGAAGGTAAGGCTTAGGCAGCATTAAGGGAAGAGGCAGAGTAATAGATCCACACTCCGGTTTCCTGTGAGGAGGGGATGCTGAGGGTTGCAGAATAGAATAGAATAGTAATGATTAGAATAGAATATAGAATAGAATAGAATAGAATAGAATAGAATAGAACAGTAATGATAAGAATAGAATAGAATAATAGAATAGAATAATAGAATAGAATAGAATAATAGAATAGAATAATAGAATAGAATAGAATAGAATAATAGAATAGAATAGAATAATAGAATAGAATAATAGAATAGAATAAAATAGAACAGAATAGAATAATAGAATAGAATAAAATAGAACAGAATAGAATAATAGAATAGAATAGAATTACAGAATAGAACAAAACAGAACAGGAAATGAAGCTTTATTGGGGAAATGTGTTTGGCCAAAACGTGGCCTGGCATCAAGAACCGAGGGCCGAGAACAGCACCCGGAGTTCTTTCCGAGAAGTTTCTTTACTGTCGTTTGGCCCACAGA